CAAATAAAAGCTTCAGCACAACATAAGGTATGTTAGAGCATTCTCAAACCTTAGAATTCATAAAATTATCTGATAATAACAATGCCTAATAACAATGATGATTCTCTGGCTCCACTCCCAAGTGTGGGCGGGATCTGGAATGTGCATTTTTAATAAGTTTTCTGGGTAGTTCTGTTCCAAATAGTCCATAAACCCCAATATGAAAAACAGTCTTTGAACTTTCATGGAAAACGGCCAATTAATTGCAGGAATTCATCACAGAGCCACTTGAGCACTAAAAAAACAGAGAAGCAAATAGGCAAAATGTTGCTGACAAGCACCCAAGGGCCAAATGATGTGCATATTTCATGTATAAATGATCTGACTGGAGAATCATATCTTAATATGCATGTAGCATGAGAAAACTGTTGAAGAGGAAAGGTGCTTCTGAATCTGAAATGGGGTGCTCATCTCCATACAAATGAAGCATGTCTAGCATGTGAAAATAAGGGTGTGTTTAAGTCCCATTTATAAAAGGTGAGCAGGAAACAGCCACTTATTGGGCGTGTGACAGTCACTTTGCCTCTCTATCTCCAAACTCTAGATGGAGGAGACTACAACTGACCTCAAGGACAGTTTTTAAGAGTAAATGATAATATTATATTTTAATAAAGCTCTCTGTAAACTATAATGCATCAGATAAACAAAAACCAGTATAATAATAAACTATTGGAGGTTACTAATTTTCTTAAACACTGGTTACAAGCTTTTAGTAAGCACCTTGCTGAGAAGTGGGCAAGAATGGCAGATTAAGTGTCATGAAGTAGCATGCCAAAAAGAAGTGGGAAACAGCTGACTGGGGAAATCAGGAGCACTCACAGAACATTCCAGAGCAATATGGGAAAACACCCATTTTTCCAATAGTGGTAAAGGGAGAGAAAGGAGTGAAGGCTCAAGATTCCAAGGTATAGTTTTATTTTATGTAAATCAACCCTAGTAAAGTATAGATACACTTGGGCTAAAGCCAGAGGGAGAGTTTAGCAACTTCTTTCTCAACTACTGCCCATGGAGGTGACCAGGGACTTCTGTCTTACACTAAGAACTCAGGAGAGAATTTGGAGTAGCTTCTTCAAAGAGGGCTGGGCCAGGAAAAGGGACAATGGCCTACTTATGTGCCCATGGATCTAGGGCTCAGTTTAGCTACTTTTGGACAAGGAAAAATATGTGAACTTATCTGTTTTTGAAGTGGCGGGGGCAGGGGGTGTTGGATGGCAGTGAAAGATGGAAGGTGGTATTTCCCACTGCAGTTCACTTTGAAAAATGACAATCCTGTTTTACTTCAACATGAAGAAAAAGAACAGACTCAAAGAGGCGGTGAGAGCACGGATGCCTGGGAAGGCCAGACATAGCAGCTGGAGTGGCCAGCTTGGCTAAGTGGTGAGAAGGAACCAGTTCAGGTCGGGGAGACAGGTGGGAAAATTGGAAACAAAAGAGGTCAGCTAGAACTGCTGACGCTCTCCTGTATCTCCCCCCAGCCTAAACTTGTTTTTGTCAGGAGCTTTACTTCACGCGCGCACGCGTGTGCGTGTGTGTGTAATCTTTAAACGGGAAAAATGTTATGTTAGATCAGGAGAAAGCTTTTGAACATAGAGACCACATTTTTTCCTTTAATATGCTGCCAATCAAGGTGTCACAGTAGCTGATGGGTGGGTCCTTATATGTCATAAAGAAAATCATCTGATCACCTTTTAGTTCTACAGTGTACACGGTGACATTTATGGGGCAGAAAATTAAAATGACAAGTGAGGAGGGCCTATTTAAAGGAAATACACCTCCACTATGAAAAAAGTAGTACCCAGTCATCAAAAGTATATGAGCTATACCTTGGCACATCATGTACAATTATAGGATAACAAGGAATGAGCATGGAAAATATGAGCTGCTCAGAGGGGATTGAGCAAGAGTCCAAATCCAAATGTAATGCTGGGAACACGAAGAGTTCTTGTCCACTTTAGGAGGGACTGTGATATAAAAAGAAACTGAGAATGAGAGTAGTATGAAAAGAATTTGAACATTACTATGAGAAAATGAAATATATTTTAGAGAGAGAGAGAGAGAGAGAGAGAGAGAGAGAGAGAAACACATTGATTTTTGTTGTTCCATGTATTATGCATTCATTGGTTGATTCTTGCATGTGCCCTGACTGGGGATCAAACTTGCAACCTTGGAATATCCAGATGATGCTCTAATCAACTGAGCTACTCAGCCAGGGGAAAAGATATATTTTATTAAGCAGCTGTTTCTAAGGTCAATTTCCTTATGCATTAGTTATGTGGTTCCCACCATTAAAATAAACATAGCTGAATATAAGGAAAATAAAGATATTTTAAATACATTTCAGGGAAAAAAAGAACGGAAATAAGTAGAGAAGTCATGTGTAATATTGTATAGAACAAACTGAATTATAGTTAATATGAAACTCTAACACAGGAAAATAGCATTTCACTAAGAGAAGGGGCAAGGAACAGGTGATAGACAGCAGATGGCCCCTGAAATGCCACAGAAACAGGCTTTTCAAGTTTCCTGTCCATGACTTAGGGTAGGGTGCTATAAGCAAAATGATGAATGAGTTCTGTCCCAAGAAAAGGGAAATGAGGAGAAAAGGACCTTGATCCTGAAAAAGACTGAATCCTACTTACATATGAATGAAGTCAACTGGTCAGTAGGGTGTATGTAAAAGTGGTAGAAAGGCAATGAAATTTACTGTATCACATTCTTAAGAAAACAATTAATAATAGTATAAACTGGTTAAGTTTGGTTACAGAGAAATAACTTTGAATATGAAAATGTAACACGTATGTAACCTAAATTATTGCAAAGCTCAAATAGACACCATCTATCAGGCAGCGTGGTTACTGAGGTCAATGGCCAACTCCAAGTATCTGTAATCCAGAGATATTTAATAGTTTTTTAAGCCAAGCAGTCTTAATGATCTGCTCAGGAAATCCTGGCAAATGTTGCTAACAGTAATATGGATAGCGGAATTGCTTGACTTGAATTGTAAGCATTTATTTACTTGCTCTCTGGAGTGCCAGAGGGCCAATAAGCAAAAGTGGTCACTGAAGCAGAAGAGAGTGGAAGCAGGGGCCATGAATAATCCATCAGCCGGAACATGAGCACCTGCACAATTAACAACTGACTGTACTGGCAAAGCGATTAAACACTCCATAGTTGACAGTACTCTGTATTCACATACCTGACATTTAATTATTGAACACACACAATTACCTATTTAAGAATGTAAATGAGTTACTGTTAGAAATAGGACACTTGAGACTATTGGGAAGTTAAAACTATCAGTTAGTTTTAAAGTAAAAAGGAAATAGCATATACAAGAAAGTAAGGGAGCAAGAAATATAGGTTAAAATGATGATTTGTATAAAGAGGTTACATGGTACAAGTACAGGAACTTTTTCTTACACCATAAACAAAAGTGAGAACAAAGGGCAATATGCTACATTTGGATTTATTTGCCTGTTTTTTCTTTTAACCTTATTTTTTTAAAGAAATGTGACCACTCAAAAAAAAAAAAAGTATGTGATTGTTTTACATTCTCCCTGCACAGAAAGTTCAGACACCTTCAAGGAATGAGAGGAGGGAAAAAAAAAAAATCCCATGCAGCTGCAAATTCCATATGAATTTAACAAAAAGAACAACTTAGTTTAATCAATTCTGGTTAAAAACTCATTAGCTATGTGCACTTTTCTGTTATCTATATCATACTCCAATAAAAAGTTAGAAAAACTCGTTAGTTGAAATACAAATGAAACTGTCAAAATAAATCCCCAAAATCAAAATGTTTGACAGAGATTTCAGAAGAAGAGAGAGCAAAAACCCCCCAAACCACCAGAATAATGCTAATGGATACATTTCATAAGCCCCAAAGAATCCAGCAATGCTGGTGATAGGTTTTTGGGACTGAAAAATGAATTGGTGGTTACAGATACTTTACCTCACGGTGACATTAGCAAGAAATAAATGACTTTTAAAAAGCAAAACAAAAAAAATAGCCCAAAAAATCATATAGGAAAACAACCCCTATCCCCAATACTAGAACGGAAAGCGTAGTTGTGACTTTGCACCTACGGTAAGGATGGCTCTCCCCTCCCTGGCTCTCCCCTCCCGGCCTGCCTGGGTATCTACCGCCCAGGCCCCCAGCAGAGAGCATTCACCTCTCGGGTTCTCTAGATTCAACACTTTCGGGGAATTCCATTAGCCCTGGTGGGCTGAGTGGAAACAACTTTGTTTCTCCTGGTCCTAAAAAGATCAGACTATTATGTACATAGAACATTTTGAGGGTTGCCAGAGGGTGGGGGTGTTGGGTGAAAAAGATGCAGGCATTAGGAAGTACAAACTGGTAGTTACAGAATAATCATGGGGATATAAAGTACAGCATAGGGAATATAGTCAATGACATTGTAATAACTATGTCTGGTGCCAGATGGGTACTAGATTTATTGGGGTGATCACTTAATAAGTTATATAATGTCTAATCACTGGAGTGTACACCTGAAACTAATATTAATTGAAAACATAAAAAAAATTATTTTAAAAAAGATGACTGTTCTGGGAATGAATTAACATCCCCTACTTTCACAAGAGTCCCACTATAAGGATGCAGTTGTCCAGATGTAAGTGTGCTGGACACAAACAAGATGCCAGAGGAATATAGCTGGTGTGCAGACTACATCCACACCACCCAAATCTCCAAGGGGTCAAAGACTGCAGAACTTTATCATTTAAAGTCTTTTAATTATTAGTCTTTTCTTTAACAACACTGCATATTTGGGGTATGTCTCCCACTAGTAAACCAATTGCAACAGTGACTATGAATTTTCTCTGGGCTATATTGATGTGACATGGAATTCCATCTTTAGCTATAACACACATATGAGAAAGAAAAGCTGACTAACATTTGTTAGTGCTAATATTATTTTATTTCAGTTTATATAAACACTTACCTCTTTGACACTGTGTGTTACTGCCCATATTAGAAAAACTCTTGACATCACTTGAAAAGAAGTCAGGACAACAGAAGATGGAACAATTCCTGAAAGAAATTTTAGGGTGGGTAAATAAATGTACTATACTAAGTTTCAACATGAAACAAATTTTCTAAAACATTCAAATTTTAATGTTTGGACACAAAACTATCTTGAACAATGGAAACTTATCTTTATTGTTGTACAGACTATGTTTTTCAATGTAGTAAACATTAAAGACTTTTCCTCCCTGAAAACAATAATATGGTTAATTACAATAGCAAACCATGGAATCTAGGTACCCTTCTTAAGCCTGACCAAGTGAAATATTTTTTACACTTATCATAAGGCAGAGAAAATAAAACCATTCCTTAACCTTTAAAATTAGACATTGAAAGTTCATTTACCATATTGGTTTCAAAAATGAATAGGCATCTGTGGAAGGGAAATCAACTGTATTTGTGTCCAATGAACACCGGAAGCTCCTGAATATTAGACTTGATATACTACCTAATGGTTAAGTTGGTAACTTTTATAATTCATTTGAAGATTTTGCCAATAAGCATAGCATAATCAAAGTTTATTATCTTTATAAACCATTTTTTCACCTTTTTTATTACAGTAAGCACTGGTACAATTATCCTCCCAATATCGTCAAGCTATAACACTGGAATTATCTTTAATTATTTTATATAATCATCAATTTCTTTGGCCTCCTCCTTCAATTCCTACCAACCACAATCTCTGTCTAGAAACCAGTGACCACCACTACATAAAATTCTTGCCTCCTTTAGGCCATCTTAGACCCAGCAATAAGCAGTACCTATAAACATCATTTTCTCTTTGTAACTTTACACTGGCAACAGGCTGCTATGAAAATAAAATCTAAAAGTAGAATTATAGGTATGCAATCCAGCAGTCCCGCCCCACCATTTCACTCTGGCCTTAATGCTGCAAGAACTAGACTTCCCAGCTTCCAGGGCCTCTCAAGTTGCACATGGGCCACGTCACACCTGCCAGGAAACCTCTCACCATCGTCACAGATTCTTCTGGCACTTTAAAACTCACCTCATCTACAGTACATTCACTGGACTATCCAAGACCAATTTCCAAGCCCTCTAAAATACACTCAAGACTTCTGAACATTCATGTAGTAGGACAAACTACAAATTGCCAAAAGGCTGTGTACAAATCAGATAGGGATAACTGCCTCTATAGGTTTGGTTATAAAAGGAAATCACTTTATATCTCATTAAGAAAAAGAGACTCTATATCCTATTAGAATGAGTTTCTTAAAGAGGATTTGGTCTTCAAGAGAGATGGTTTGGTTCCCAAAAGCAAGTAACGTGGATATGTTGAGCAATGCTTAGCAGATAAAGATGCTTAACAAATCTTTGTAAAATGAATGAAAGAAAAATATAACTGTACAGACATACAGATCAATGGAATAAAGTTAGGAGTCCAGAACTAAACCTTCACATTTACAGTTACATGATTTTCAACAAGGGTGCTAAGATAATTCAATGGAAAAATAGTTGTGTTTTTTTTTTTCTTTTTCAACAAATGGTGCTAGGACAATTGCATAGCCCCATGCAAAAGAATGGCGTTAGAGCACTTCCTTACATCATGTATAAAAATTAACTCAAAACCAACCAAAGTCCTAATGGAAGTGTTAAACTATAAAACTCTTGGAAGAAAACAGATGTAAGTAAACCTTGGTGATCTTAGGTTAGGCAATGGTTTATTAGGTATAATTCTAAAAGCACAAGAAAATATAAATAAATTGTACTTCATCAAAATCAAACTCGTGCTTTTAAGGACACCATCATGAAAATGAAAAGACAACCCACAAATAGGAGAAAATATCTGTAAATTAAGGACTTACATCCAAATTATATAAAGAATTCTTTAAAATTTTTATTTATTTTTAGAGAGAGGGGAAAAGAGGGATAAAGAGAGGGAGAGAAACATCGATGCACGAGGGATACATTGATTGGCCACCTCTTGCATGCCCCCACCCGGGGACCTGGCCTGCAACCCAGGAATCGAATCATAGCCCTTTGGTTCACAGGCCAACACTAATACACTGAACCACACCAGCCAAGGCAAGAATTCTTAAAAGTTAATGATGAAAAGACAAATAACCTAATTTAAAAAACAGGCAAAGGCTTTGAATAGAGACTTCCCCAAAGAATCTATGCACATGGCCATTAGTTATCAGGGAAATGCAAATCAAAACCATAATAATACACCCTTCACACCCACTAGGATGGCTACAGTCAAAAAGAGGAGAAGTGTTGATGAGGATATTGTGATACTGGAACACTCACACACTGCTGATGGGGTTAAAATGCTGTAGCCATTCTGGAAAACAGTCTGGTAGTGTCTCAAAGTGCTAAATGAAGAATTACTATGTGACCCAGCAATTCTACTCATAGATGTGCATATACCCAAAAGAAATGAAAACATATGTCACACAAAAACTTGTATATGAATGTTCACAGCAGTATTCACACTAGCCAGAGTTGAAATAACAAAAATGTCCAACAGATGAATGAATAAATAAAATGTGATATACCCACATATTAGAAATAAAAATGAAAATAAAAATAAATATTAAATAAAAAGAAATGAAGTACTGACACATACTACTGTACTGATGAACCTTGAAAATATTATGCTGAATGAAAAAGCCAGTGACAAAAGACCTCATGTTGCATGATTCAATTTACATGAAAAATTCAGAATAGGCAACCTATAGAGATAGAAAGTTGGTTACCTGAGTCTAGAAGGTTAGGAGGAAAATGGAGTGACTGCCAATGGGTATGGCATTTCTTATAACAGAGGCAAAGCCTATGTAATAACTGCATGTTTGGGATTTTAGAGACCCTTCAGTTTTTGCACAGCAAAATAAATTGCCAGTAATACAAAAAGGCAACCAACATAATGGGAGAAGGTATTTGCAAAGAACAACTCCAACAAGGGGTTAATATCCAAAATATAAAGAATTCATACAACTCAACACCAAATAAACAAACAATCCAATAAAAAATGGGCAGAGGACCTGAACAGACATTTCTCCCAACAAGACATAGAAATGGCCCACAGACATATGAAAAGATGCTCAACTTCATTAGTTATTAGGGAGCTACAAATAAAAAACAAAATGAAATGCCACCTCACACCTGTCAGAATGGTTATAATCAACAATACAGGTAATAAGTGTTGGAGAAGTTGTGGAGAAAAAGGAACCCTCATTCACTGCTGGTGGGAATGTGAACTTGTACAACCACTATGGAAAACAATATGGAGGTTCCTTAGTAAATTAAGAATAGAGTTACCTTATGACTCAGCAACTTCTCTTCTGGGTATTTACCCCCAAAATTAGAAAACATTTATTCACAAAGACATATGCACCCCTATGTTCATTGTAACATTATTCATGGCAACCAAGGCATGGAAACAGCCAAAGTGTCTTTCAGTATAAGACTGGATAAAGAGATAAAACATATATACAATGGAATACTGCTCAGCCATAAGAAAAGGTGAAATACTGCCATTTGTGACAATCTGGATGGATCCTGAGAATATCATGCTAAGTGAAATAAGTCAGACAGAGAAACTTAAGAACCATATGATATCACTTCTATGTGGGATATGAAATTGAAAGCAACAAATGAACAAACAAGAAAAACAAACAAAACTCAGAGACACAGACAACAGTATGGTGGCTACCAGAGGGAAGGGGTGGAGGGTATTAAAGAGTAAAGGGGGGTCAAATATGGTGATGGAAGGTGGTTTGACTTTGGGTCATGGGCACACAATGCAATAGGAAGATCATGCAGTATAGTAATGTACACGTGAAACCTATATAATCTTATTAACCAATGTTACCCCAATAAATTTAATAAAAATAAAAAAATAAAAATCATTCATTTATTAAGTGTGACTTTAGACAGGGATTTGGGAGGTCCGAATATTGCAATTTGGCTGAACACAGATTTATTACTTATTTCTTCTCTACTCTAAAGCTCTCTTTTCTAGGCAATATGAAATTATTATGAAGTCTCTCTGGAAAAATCCAGCCATTGTTAATAGAATGAGAATGGTTTGTATGAGATCAATGTAACCTGGCAGCCAGGGAGAATGGACTGGAATGCGCATGTGTGAACAATGACAACTTCACTGTACTAGTCAGTGGGGGGTGGTAGACGCCAATGAGTAACTATGTGTACTGTGTGGCCCTCGCATTCAAATTGACTGACCGAGTAATGACTCTCCATCAAATTTTGTGTTAAGCCTGAACATTCCTTCATGAAAACTATCCAATTGATTCAGAAGGCTTTTAGAGATGATGCAATAAATGCAGCACAAATAAAAGTGTGGCACAAACACTGCAAAGATGGTCAGGAATCTGTTGAAAACGGCCCACATTCTGAAAGGCCTGCAACAAGCAGAACACCTGAGAATGTTGAACATGTATGGGCTACAATCAACAAAAACTGGTGGCTGAGAGTGCAAGAACTAGAAGCTGATCTGGGGATTCCAAAATCTACCATGTCTGAGATTTTGATGCAGAATTTTGGCATGAAACATATCATGGCAAAATTTGTCCCATGGCTTCTGCTATTAGAGCCGAAGGAACATTGTGCTGCAGTTGCTAATGATTTGATTCAAACTGCTACAAATTAACCAGATTTCCTCAAGAAGGTCATAGCTTTGAAGGGGACTGAGGCATTACTGTCCTATGTACAATGTTTCTTGTATTTTCTTCAATAAATGTCTCTCTTTTTCATATTACATGCCTGGATACTTTCTGGACAGACCTCACATTTATCTTCTTTTTAAAAGTGCTAAAAAATTACCAGGTTATTTTTCCTAAAAATAAGTTTTAGTAACCAAGAACAAAGACTTAGTCTTTTGGTATTTCTCACCACTCTCTTCTTCTAAGTATATTTTAATGTTATTTTATACCTATCCTCTCTCCCCACATCCCTCTGGCAACCATCAGTTTGTTTTGTTTCTATGAGTCTGTTCTTGTTTTGTTTGTTCATTTATTTCTTTAGAT